AGAAGAAAGACTGAAGTGGGAGGATACAGAGTTCACTTCCTCAGCACTGACTGTGAACCACTTGGTGTTGCAGGCGGGAGGAGAAGAAAGCCATCAGCAGAGAGTGAAAAGAGTTCTGATGATACTTCCAACTTCACACCACTCATCACATGAGTGGCCTTGAGCCTCCCACAGGTTAGTGATGCACTTCGTCATTTTCCCAGCAGCCCATCTGTTAGCCAAATTGCCACGAATTATTAATAACTATGGGGAATTATATCATGCAAGGCAATAGGCAAATAAGGGAGCAAGCACCTATGTATACAGGGGTCCCGCTTCTTCCAGACGCACCAGAAATAGACTCAAAGGCTGGCTTCAGTATAAAATGGTTTCATTTACTGAAGATGTTTCACAATCATACAATAATTCAAACACACTCACAATTACACAGATCTAGGAATATTAGAGAGAAGAGGATAGCACATTCGCATTAGCAGGATGATAGTTGAGGGGCAGTACTTTACCTGTCCTTGACGGGATGGATCGATCCTTAGGAAAAACAAAGGAGACTATGGGGAAATGGGGTCGTGTCCTGAGCCGGCAGCGACATGTGGAGAGACTGGCTGCGCAAACCAAGAGTTGTGGGTTTAGGGTAAGTTGGGGGGGGGGGGCCCGGGGGGGGGGATGGGGGGGGGGGTAGGGGGCTTGAGGGGTGGGCTAAGCTTGGCCACCTTTGGCACACCTCCTGCTGGTCCATCCCCAAAAGCATGCTGATTGGTACTGAGTTCAAGGGGAAGGGTCTAAGGGGGTGGACAATGTTGAGATCTAGTAAAAACTGGTCTGGGCAGTGGCACCTGAAGGGGTTATGACTCATGGCGGCCAGAGCCCTTGTTATTGATAACCCCTGATTGTTTTATGGCTGTAGCTTCAGCTAGGTGAGAGACTAGGTGGGGGAAGAGAATGTTGCCTGCGTGCAAGGAAGAGAACTCTTCATGGAGTTTGAGTTCTTTGTCTTTGGTCTTCTGTCCTGGCATGGCAACTGTCTGGCTTTCAGTGCTACACGTGGCTAGGGAACTGGTCCACCTTACTGCAGGTAAGAGAGTAGGTAACATACAGGAACCATAGGCACATCATCTTACAGGAAGGCTTCCTTCTTTGGGGCGTGTGCCTATAACTGGCATGACTTGGAGTCACCTTACAGTTCAGTCCCTTTTGCACAGAACTAGCAAAGTCCAGGTTTTTATCACTTATGAGTTCATAAGAGTGCAGTAGCGCCTTGCAGGGCAACACATCCCCTCCTCAGCTATGCATCCAGCTCTGGCCTAAGAACACATGCATGCATACACACATTTTGTGTATTTTTAATCTGCAGGATTTTCCATTTCTTCAGGGGCTTTTTGCTATGCAATCCCAAATCCTGGAAGCACGTAGATGTGTGCATGCATGTATGAAGAAAAACAGCAGGACCAGATGAAGTTTCCATGTTCAGAGGCAGTGGCCTTCTGAACGGTAGCTGCTGGTAGGCAACAGTGGGGTGTGGCTGTTGCCTTCGTGCTCTTTGTGGAGGTTTGGTTGTGAAAACAGTATACTAGACGGCCCTTGGGTCAAAGACAGCAAGGCTGTTCTCAGGACTGTTACCCTTCCTCATTTTATGAAACCTACTATGCTGCTTAAAAATTTCAACCATAGTTTTGCATTTTCCTGCTGTACGAAATTGATTTTAGAGGATCATCCAGCTTTATTTGAAGGGGGCAAATAGCAGCCTATTTTATTCCCCCTTTACCATGGGTGCAGGGGGGATATCGGGTTTCTGAAAGTATTGCATTATGAACAGAATGCATTTAAGAAACTTTTTGTGATAGTAAAGAAAGGCCCTAAAATGCTGTTCAGGTGGGCATCTGGCATCCTATTATTCTGTACACCTATGGGCTGCACGAGGCCCTCTCTACAGCGGCACCATTCTGAACAGCTGCTTTTTCTTCACAGGTCTGCAGCATGACAACTAACTGACAAGGTTCATGTGTGCGTGTGATGGCACTTGCTCCTCTCCCACATCATATCTGTCCCGCCTCCAGGGCTTGCGATTCAGATGGTGGATGTTTGAGGGCCAAGCTTGAGAGGTGGATCCAGAACTTAAGGAGCTGAGCATCAGGGCTTGGCAAAAGGTGGAAAAAGGAAAACAGCAGAGCCGTGGTGGGACCCTGTGGGTAGCTTAAACCTCACCATCACAGATTACTTCCAGCATGGTAATGCCCAAGGAGAACGGGCACACAGTCCTAGCTGGAAGTACCTACCCCTCCTTATGCATGGTCCTGCACACTGGACCCTGTCCCATGCATGTATGTGCAGCAACAGCATTGCACCTTCCACTCCCTCTGTAGTCATCTACATACAAGCATCATCCAGACATGTCTGAGACCTATTGTTGCCTGGAACCAGCTGGCTTTGGGTCTGCAGCTTGTCTCACAGACCAATACACTGATCACCCTTCATCTGTGAGCACGGAATCAAACAAACATGGGAGTGCGGCTCCAAACAGAGCCCTGCCTTCCAGCTCAATTCAGAACGAAGAGGGAGTTTTGAAGTCAAACATCTACAAGGGAGAAATAAAATATATTTGTTTTACATTAAGTCTGTCCATCTCTTCTTTCTACAATGTTGAACGTGCATATTGGGGAGGAGGAAAGAAAAGTACATCTGTACCATGATGTTAGCCAGGCCTTTTGTTGGAAGTAAGCAGCCCAAAAGGGCTGTGTGGAAATGTTTAAATAGATTTCCCCATTTTTCTGCATCCCAGGATTTGGGGCTAGAATTATCTAGCCTTGCAGAAGGAAAGAAGCCATTTCAGTATGAGACTGGAAAGCAGTGCTGTCTCAACCTTAGGTGTTTTTGTTAGTGTTCAAGAACCTGCTCTATTGGTGGTATGAGGCACTTCTGCCAAACATAGCCATCTTGCCTTGACTCTTCTTAAGTGTAGCAGAGACAGAGGTTTCTCCTGGGGCCTGCTTTGACCTACACCAACTACCTCCAGCAGGTAGTGTGCCTTTGGCTGGGAAGGCACAGTGTCTTCTAGGACTGCAGAAAGCCCGTGAAGGAGAACCGAGGCCTTCAAGATCAAAAGAGTCAGAGCAGTGTTCTATTTTTAAGCGAGAAGTCTTGCCCATGGAAGTCTCAGCTGCTCTCAATACAGCTCTTTTGAGATGGAAACCTGATCTGTAAGCACCTTTTCCACAGCTATGCTTTTAAGCGGAGGCCTTGCCTGCAGCAGAGCTATTCTTGATAACTGACAAATGTATCTAAAAGGCCTTTTACTGTCTTTCATTTTTATCAGCCTCAAAAGGAACACAGGGAGCATTTGTCTGGCCTCAGGCACTGCAGTTGGGCCTGGCATGAATATGGCTTAGCAAGGAAATGGCTGTTTCTGGCACACCCACCCAACCCTGTTAAGACACTTGTGAGGGGCTCCACTTCCCACCTTTAGACCTCAAGAACGAGCTGAGATACAGTTATATGTGCTCCAAATGAGGGCCCACAGAGCGCTATGAGGCTGCTTCACACAACTGGCTCTGTTCACCTCAGCCCAACCTAGCCCCATCTCATGTCAGCCAACAAACGATGAAAATGGAGACTGTTTAACTGTTTATTGTACTAACAGAAAAGGTACAGTTACGGTTACATTCTTTGCTCATGCAAGACTGGAAAATGGGAACCAGCTCCAGCCTTGCTCCCTGAAACAATCAATGCCGCCAGTAACAGAACACCCATTTTGGTATCTGTTTCCACAAACACTGCTGTTTTGCCGCAGCAGGGTTGGTTACATAAAGTGCAAAGGGACATAATACAGAAAAGATAGGTGGAAGAAGCCATGTGCTGGTCATCCAGACTTAATAATAGCCATGAATACAATATGTGCAGATGGACAGCTCACATGCACTGAATGCAATCTGTCTCCTACACAAATAAAGGCCAGAGACCTGTTCCTGATCATATTACAGTATTTTCTGAGTTCCCGCAATGAAGAAGGTGAACTCAGGGAGCAAATATACTGTACAAAGTGGAGGGATATGGTTGCTTATGTGTTTTGGGGCTAAACTAGATGTTACATGCAGTTGTATGTAGCTTTACTCTGCTGTTTTGGAGTTTGGGTTTGTTTTTTAAACCAAGGCCAGCCTCAGAAAGTTGTAGGTTTAAGCAGAGAGTGCAATATCTATTTTCCACTCGACCCTCACTCCTCCTTACACTCTGATACTCGCATCTTCCAGTGGCTGCTCCTGGGTAATTCTTTTTAGTGTAAAACAGAGGAGAAAGTTACACACACACGCACATAATATTTGGCTGCAGCCTTACTGGATCTTGGTGACTGCTTCGTGGATGGAGCTAGCAACGTAGTCCAAGTTCTTGGTGGTCAAGCCACACATGTTGATGCGGCCACTGGCCATTAGGTAGATGTGCTTTTCCTTGATCAGGTACTGGACTTGCTTAGCTGAAGGAAGAAGAGGTGGGGAAATATCAGGTTCCCTCCCAACTGTCACCTGCAACCCAAGACAGCCTTTGCTAAGATTTGCCAGCTTAGCCCTCAATATGAGCAGCCAGCATTTCAGAGAGATTGTCATCAGCCTTATGCAAGTGAAGCAGAAGTCTAGAGTTGACGTCTCTCACTGTAGGGAAGCTGGATACGAATGTCAAATTGGGGTGAGGCACTTTTCACCAAAGCAGAGCTAGAAGGAAGACTGTTTGGCTCCCTAGGCCTAGAGCATCCTTCTGCTAACCAAACCCTTACTGTTCGATACCTCTTTTCTCTCCCCCTCTGCCACCCAGCTGCGTACTTACTGTTGAGCCCAGTGAAGCTGAACATGCCAATCTGCTCTGTGATGTGCTTCCAAGTGCCTGGAGTGCCCAGGGCCTCAAGCCGAGACCTCAGTTCTGCTCGCATCAGCAAGACCCGATCTGCCATTGTCTTCACATTTCCTTTCCTGTCACAGAAAAAGTTTAAGCTAGGCCCCATGCCAGCTTTGTCCATACCCTGTGCCCCCCATGAAACAAAGATCAGTACCCGCCTCCTGTCTTAATGGTCCTTACCATTCAGTGAACAGCTCTGGGGAAGTGAGTGTAGTAGCCACAATGCGGGCACCCTGCGATGGAGGATTAGACCATGTTGTACGGACTATCTTTTCCATCTGGGACAGGGTACGCTGCACATTATCTGCATCCTTTGCCACAACCGTCAGGTTTCCTACCCGTTCGTCTGAGGAGAGGCAGGAGAAAGAGGATGACCATAAGCCTGAAGCCCTACATAAGTGCTCTCCTGCTGTACCTCTGGCTCACCTCAAGAAGGAAGTCCCTTCCATGTCCCTTCCCTATATAAGACACTTACTGTAGAGCCCAAAGTTTTTGGAGAAGGATTGTGCGCAGAAGAGTTCGAAGCCTTCAGAAACAAAGAAACGCACAGCCCAGGCATCTTTATCCAAACTACCAGAGGCAAAACCTTGATAGGCAGAGTCAAAGAATGGGAACAGGAACCGGCGCTGCAAGAAAGGAATTGTTTGAGAGCCACTTAGCTTTCCATGAATGTAGCTTCATTGCATACCATCCCTAGAAATATTTACTTATATGCTGGTGCCCACATATTTCTTCCCTTGCCACCAAGACGACTTGCAGATCCATAGCTTGAAGAAATATATTTTACAAAATATGCAAGTTGTCTTCCACTGTATCATCTGTTGAGAAGATGTTGATAAGGCTGCTTCCACACCAGAGTAATTTTCCATGGTAGTCTGGTTGCTGATGTGATTCTGTGTGAGATTGCCCTTGCAATGGAGATTCCAGACAGCCCACGGTCATCTGTTTTCTATCATTAGCGGTGTCTTTTCTTTCACACCTGATGTTCATTGAAGCCCCCCCACCCATAATCACATGACCCTCAGGATTCTTTGCCCACTCTTTTAATTGTTTTTTTTAATTTGGAGGAGCATAGGTAACCCAGAGCTGCATGGAAATAATACTTTAAAAAAAAACCCTCCATGTATTTGCAGACACGTGCAATGAGCCCCTCCCTAAAAGACAGGCTCAGCTGTGGGTGATTCTCATCTTTTTAAATAAACTGAGCATAAATAATGCCAGAGAGGAATGATGCAATCCCTTTAACAACCTTTAAAAAATCCTCATATTTGCAGACCCTCTGAGGATCCCCTCTCAAAGGCAGGAATTCCTCTTCTGTTATGCTGATCATTGCCAGGAAATGTCCCCTTGGTGTCATCAACAAATGAGCAAATGACGAGTTCTTCATGCAGTCCTGAAATCACGCTGTTTCCCCCTCAGACACAAGAAACTGCTCCTGCCATTAGTATCCTGCCCAGAGAATACCTTATTTTTAAAGAAACATTTAAATAAAGCAGTTTTTTTATTTTTGAAAGGACTGTTTTTGTTTTAATGTTTTATTTTGCTTTTAATTCCCATAATACAAGTTTATACAAAACATCATAACAAAGGAAAGAATAACATTTAAACTAATTTATCAAGGATGACCTACAATATGCCCAAACTGGATTGCTTTCTAATGTTATCTATTGTCCTATCTTTATAATCCACTTGGGAACGTTCCCACAAACTTAATTCTACGTTGCAAAAATATATCATTATACAATTCATACATCTTTTTGAAAGGACTGTTAACGGTCTGTGCACAAACATTTTTTAAAATGGAAACATTTTTTAAAAGCACCAGTTTGGTGGCTGAAATGTGGGAAATCCTTGGTGTGGAAGCAGCCACAGTTGAAGACGACTTACTGGTCACAAAATTTAGCCTTTCAATACTAAGCATACACAGTCCTGTTGCCCTTTGGCTGCATTAAGTGAGCAAATACCTTCATAACAGCAGCAATTTGTTTCCACTGCTCCTGGGTGGGGTCCGTGCCTGTGGGATTATGTGCACAGGCATGGAGGATGAAGATGGAGAACTCTGGGGCCTTCTGGAAGGCAGAAAGGGGAAAGAGAGTGAAATTAAACGGACTCTGTGTCATGTCCAAGGTGCTCGCTGCTCACACCTGAACCATACTGACAGGATTATAATGCGCATATGGCTGCATGCTGTGAATATTCTAGCAAAAAACTAAACTGTGGGCTGGCATGGTAAGCAAACAGGACCAAAACTGTAAGTGAAGCTATTTGAACAGATCTATACAATCTCTAAGGGCACAGAGAATCTTTAATACAAAAATCATTCAAAGTGTATGTCTTGTCAGATTCAGTGGACTCCAAATCTCTCCATTTGGAAGAAATGTTCTATGTAATTGATTTTACTCATATATCATTTAGTTCACAATCAACCATACCGAATGCTGAAGTAAAGTATCCTAGCCTACATAAAAATGGAAGTTGAGAGGAATAGGTCAGGAATTGCCAGAAGGATTTCTACCAGAAATTGGCAGATAGTGAAGAGTTGTTAACATTCTGAAGTATGTGAGGAATATACTGTGTAAAGGAGGGTAAATCTCACAAGAGGAAGAGCCACTCCCGCTTCCAAACCCTGGTTCTGTTAAGCGAGAGGAGAGAATACATGTGTTGCATGCAAAAAGCCCTCTAATTAAAGACGTGCTGTGACAGGCATTCTACTGTCCAACACCTCACAGAGCTACTGCTAGTCAGACTAGACAGCACTGAGCTAGGTGGACCTGCCGTCTAACTCTGTATAGGGCAGCTTCCTATGTGCATACACTCAAACACTGGTGTGGGCTACAGTCCAGAAGGACCATACACATTCCAAAGTGTGTCTACAATGCAGCAGGGGTCTCCAGATTTCCACTTCTGACTGCAGCTCCATTCAGGAGGCTGCTATGAAAAGTCCCCTGCCTTTAGAAAGTAGCTGTCCAGGGGGGATAAAGGACACTGGAAGCACGAATAGGTAAGAAGAATCTCCCATATTACACATGGCAAATCTTTGCTAAACCAACCATACTGGAGAATACTATTCTGGATGGGAAATCAGGTCTACAGGGGATCCAAAAAGCATACCATTTCATGAGGGAAGTCTAGCAAGCAATGCAACCAGAAGCACACCAAAGCTGCTTTTGTCCACATTCAGATGAAGAAGAAGAGAAGAGAAGAGATTGGATTTATACCCCGCCCTTCAATGCCCAAAGGTGTCCCACAGCAGCTGACAAACTCCTTTCCCTTCCCCTCCCCACTACAGACACCCTGTGAGGTAAGTGGGGCTGAGAGAGCTCTTGACAGAAACTGCTCTTTTTCAAGAACAGCTGTGCCAGAGTTATGGCTTGCCCAAGGTCATCCAGCCAGGTGCAAGTGGAGGAGTGGGGAATCAAACCCAGTTCTCCCAGATTAGAGTCCACGCACTTAACCACTACACTAAACTGGCTCTTTTGTGGATGTGATTTTCTGACCATTATTGATGTCACACGCACATGTGGATTATTATTTTTCTCCAGGGTTTGCTTGCCTGGAACTCAGGCTATAGAGCCATGTCAGGCAACTGGTAGTTTTAAATGCACCTGGGATACTGTAAGTAATCAGACAGAGCTCAAAGCCAGCAAAGAAGCATCTGGCTAACCAAGTATGAATCAGATCTTCCAATCCAATTACTTCAGCCCTCTGCTGCATAAAGCCATGCTTGACAGAAGTAACTACACGTAGCCACAAATTCCCAGGCCAACCTAATCCTAATCCTTGGATTCTTACTCCAGTCTCTTCCCAGGTTACATCCAAGATGTAGGGCAACTTGACCTACTTCCAAGTCTTCCAGGAATCCCTGGATGTCCAGCCCCCTCTTGGCACCATCCCAATAACGGTAGGTTCGGATGTCCTTGAAGCCAGCATCCGTGAAGACAGAGTTATGGTTCTCTGTAGGGGGAGAGAGAAGCATTTGTCACAGAGCCAAGGCTCAAGCCATTCAGGGCCTCATATGGCAGGAATATTCAACCACTTTAGTGTATTCAGTTGCCTGCCTTCCCTCTCCCTGCTCCACACCATAGCAAAGATGCCAGCCAGGCTTCAATGCTCACCCCAGGAAGGAGAAGAAATGTAGATAGGGGTTGCTGTGTTGTTGTTTCCATTATACCAGCGTCTCAAGAATTCTGCTCCAATACGCAGGGCCCCTGTACCTCCTAAAGACTGGACACCCCCCACCTGAAAAAAAGGGGAGAAGAAGTTTTCATCAGAAGAGTGATACTTTTTCCCAATAGGAATTCTGAGCACCTCAGCAAGTCTCCAATCTTCCTGTAACACCTCTTTTTGTCTTGCACTGGACGGTACCCAAATTCCCCAAGCCTCAGAGATTCTACCGGTGAGCAGTGCTACCTGGTATGGCAGTGATACCGGTACTACACAGCCCCGCCTTTCCCCATCTTCCATCCCTATTTCCACTGCCCTTTCACCTGGGTGAGAGCTACTCCCTTTAAAGATATCAGAGACCTGTTGCCTGTGTTTGTCCATCAGCATTCAGTCTACAATTTCGGATATTGCCACAGCACAACGCGAACAGGAAGCCACACACACACACACACACACAAACCCTTTATCTAAACAACAACTGGCAGAACACTCCCAGTTCCTTTCACCAGCCCCTACCAGTTTAAGAACAAGGATTTTCTCATTGCCAGGCTCACCCTGTTCTCCTTGATGGCTGGACTGTCCTCTCCTAAGGCAATTCTTGAGGAATTGGCGCGGAACTCTGGCAAGCCCAGGATTGGAAGATACTCATGATTTAAACTGGTGTCTTTGGCAATCATCTGCTCCACTTTCCGGACCACTGGCAAGACCCAAGGCTGCCCCTCATCTGTGCGATAAGCTGTAAGGGAGTAGGGAAGACACAGTACTTACTGCACATATGTTTCTCTGCTCTGCCTGTTTCCTTCTAGGTTTCCAATTCCTACTTCAAGACTTTACAGTGGAACATCTGTTGTCACATTAGTCTCCAATGCCCACTACTGCATTATTCCCACAATCCCTTTGTCCAGCTATTCAGACTCAAGCACTTCATGCGTACAGGTTATCAACTGTGTCAGTCTGGACGTTCCCTGTGTCCAGCATGTTTGGCATCTCAGAGGTGCCAAGGGCTGAATGCCAAGGTGCCAAGGCCAGCAACACCTGAAGTCAAAAAGGGGACAATTTTGACAGCTGCCAAAATTCATACCTTGAGCATCTCATAACTGAGCACGTGCTCTGCTCCATGTACAGGAGAGATGACAAACAACAAAAAACAAAAACCCCAGAGAACTCCAGCACAAGAACAAGCAGAAAAGTTTGCCTGTAACAGGCAAGCCATGAGCAGACAGATATTAAGCCTTGATAAAGCTGCAGTGATCCAAGAAGAAACAATCAACTAGATTCAGGGGCAAAGAGCAAAGAGGCTGCATGGGTGTCAGCAAGCTTGAACAATGCTTCTTAGCACCAGGGCAGAGTCCCTTTCAAATTTCTTCCAGGCACAGGCAATGGTCTGCCCAAGGTTATCAGGGTAGCTCAAGCTGAACCTGGATAGCAGCCCAGATGCTCCTGACAGCAATGCTCCAGCCATTTTTCCAAAGGCTGTATCAAAAAGGAGACACCTACATGCTGACAATTAAGAGTAGCCAATCTACACCAAAAAAGGGCACCATCCTCCCCATGGTATCGAATTAAGCCTTTCACCTCTCAAGCATAAGCTCACGCCTCACAATACTTAATGCATCCATTCAAGATGCGCAAATGTTTCTGTGAATGTGCGTTTGGATTTTGTAATCAGGAGCCAGTGCCCTGACAAAAATCCAGATCAAGACCACTGATATGCTCGCACCAAGGGGAGGGAGGAATTGTGAGAATGACTCACTATATACATATGTTGTCTGAGCATGTAGGGTGAACATGAACTGATCCCCAGGTACACCGTGAATGTCAAAAAAACAGCCCGGACACGCATTTTCCACCCCCTACACCGTCGGATTCACCACTCCGGTTCTCGTACCTCCTACTCCCAGGTTGACCTTGCGAGGGTCGACGTCGGCGCGGAAATCCGCCGTGAGCTGGAAGACGGCTACTGGCACGGCCTGTGGGACGGTGGCAAACACGGAATCTACGCCGGGGGCCATTGCAGGACTTTGCCGAGGCTGGCGCGTCTCAGTCTCTGCCTGGAGGAGACTTTCACCTTCACCAGAGGCGGAGAGAGCCGTCTACCAATCCCCAACGCCAAAAGCGAGGGCGGGCACGTCCTCTCCAATCGCACAGCCGCTGTCGAAGGGTCCAAGGTGAAAGAGCCAATTGTGTAAGATTTAAGGCTGCCGGCCGGTTTGACAAATCGGGTGCCTCAAAGGATGGGAGTGACGGCTTTCCAGCCAATCTCTGTTCCTCAGAGGCGGACGTGTGCTCAATTAATCCAATCCCTCGGCTCTATGGAATGTCACAGCGGTTGAAAAGGAATGGATCACGCGGCAGTGGGTGTTCTCGAGCCCAATTGTGCTGTCAGCGTTCTGGAGGTCTGCAGCGGGCGGCGCGAAAGGGGCGGATTCCAGGTGCGCAGGCGGCTGGTAGGTGGCGCGGCCCATGATAACCTGAAGCAGAAGTATTTGTTTAGCGCGATCCTGGCCGTGGTTGCTCAGAAGTAAGCCCTGTGCTGTTCAACGGGACTTAGTCTCTCGACATAGCTTTAAATGGGTAACAACTTAATGAGTCGGTCAGAAAGGGAGGAGGATACGTTATGTTTGCTACTGGGAGAAAAGAAATAAGAAGTTAATAGAAGAGGAGGCTGAGACCGTCAAGTGGAGGACGGGAAGGAAGCGGCCTCCGTCCCATCGGGCATGAATCCCGCGCAACGGAGAATCCTCTCCCCAAGGAATGCTTCGAAATGAGAGTTCGTTGTGCGATTGTTTTCTGTGAGCCGCTTTTGGCTGAAGAATGGGGGTACAAAAATAAAATTATCTGGAGAAGCAACATTTGATACCGTCTAAGGCTGCCTTTGCTGTCCTTTCAGTGCCCACCTTTTTCATCGCTGGATGCGGGAGTGCACCAGATAACGAAATATGTTGAGACTGCTGGCTTCCTACATTAATAAGATCTCCCATCCTCACAATACCTCTGTGTCCCCCCCCCCCTTCACTGTCCCCCAAGCCTGGAAGGGGTGGGGTGCAGTGCAGATTTTTGTTTAGCAGATTTCCTGTGCCTTTAAAATACCAGGCAGAAATTATCAAGTAAAGTTCTTCCCAGGATAGATAGAGGAATGCTTTACATGTTGACTTTCTGCTTGTTTGTGTACCAAGTGTTAAAGATACAGGAGCCCTACCAGCACACACAAAAAATTAAGTAACAGCAATTCTGGTGGCTGTAAGTGGGACAGGAAACAGCATTTGAAGCAGCAGTAAAGTGCAGGGGAGCTTCAGAAATGTGTGAGGTTGAAGGCTGTGCTTCTGTTTTACAAAAGGGAAACTGAGACAATGCAGCAGGGGATTTAAGGCTGAAAGCCTGAGCTTCTTTTTTTAAGCCCAGAGTCAAGCTGCTTTGCACACTAGCTGGCCTTAAAAATATCTGCCCCCTCTCTCCATACCTTGGAGTACTTGCCTTTCTATATATTCCTGCAATATGTGAGAGGCCAACACTAATAAAGTACCACCCAATGAGCTGGAAGTCTTCCAATTGTAGAAAAAGAGGGATGGACCAGATGTGTCTCCATGGAAACAAGGAGTCCCCCCCCCCCAGGATTTTGTTGGTGTTGGGTGTTACAAGTTAAAACACTTCTATTTCAGTATTTACTGGGTTAATACTGTTTATTGAATCACATGTTTGTTTGTGAGCAATCTGTTTAGGGAGCTAGAAAGCCCGGCAACTTCAGATCTAGTTTGTTGTTCTGATTGGAGAATAGAGTGGCTAGTATTAACATTTTATGGCTCTTTGTCCTGAGCAAGAAGAAGTTCAGTCTCCATTAGACCTCTGCCATGTTCTGTCTAGCTGTAAGGATGTAGAAATATAGCTCTTTGTTATTTTTCATCCCGTATACCTTTTCCCATGCTAGGTTGTAGTAAACTTTTATATTTTAAACACACCATGGACTCTGACTCTTTAATACTCTGCTGAATGCTGATTACTCTGCTGATTAACTTTAAAATTAATAACAATAACCCAACAGTTGGCAACAGCTTTTGAGACTGGAAACCATCTCACTAATCTGTTACAGTGTCCATTCTGAAGTCTGCTACTGATTAATACAGAGATCCCCCGACTTTTTTGACCCCATGGGCACCTTTGGAATTCTGACACAGGGTGGTGGGCACAACAGCAAAATGGCTGCTGCAGGAGGTCAAGCCACACACACTCAAAGGAAGCATATGGAAGAGGAGAAGTAATTTTAAAATATGCTGTGAAAGAGGCGTAAGAGAGAATAAAATCTATACTGTGGTGGCAGCTGCTGCTGAAACAAGGTTATTTAATCTACACAGCCAGTTGGAGCTCCATGGGCCAATTAGAAGCCCTGCTAAGGCATGAACCAACTTTCTAGAAACACTTGTTTGGCATCAGACAAGCCATTGGCGAGCACCATGGCACCACATTGGCAACCACTGGATTGATGTATTAGATGTCACAGCGAAAAATAGATTTTGTCATTAGGTCAGAATTCTCCAAAGTATGCCTAGATTTTTCTGTAATTTGAAAATGTGCACATGCCCTCAGTAGCTGCTATTGGGTCAATAACAGTGAATCAATTGCTTTCCCCCTTCCCTCATTATGTATCCGTTTATGTTACTCTGTCAAGTCCATAGTGTTTATATAATTTTTTTTCAAAAGCTCCTTGCCCCAAAATGAAATTTGAAACTACTGTTCTGTGGAGCAACAAGAGGTGTGGGAGAGTCTCTAAGGGTGCAAAAGGGAGAAGATGCTGGAGACGGGCATCTGCAGTTTTCTCAAAGAGGGGGGGATTGTCAGTAGGCATCACCTCACTAGCACAACAGTCTGAAGTTCAAGGAGGTAAAGAAATGGGAACCAGAATAGCCAGGTCAGTGAATTCAGGGGAAGGCGCTGAGGGGGATAGTCTGACAAAAAGGTATCATGATGGTGAGGAATGGTCATATAACCTCAGTCACAGGAAAACTGTCAATTCTGTGAGTGTGCTCTGTGTGTGTGTGTGTATGTGTGTGTGTGTGGTGTGTTGTCAAGTCACAGCTGATTTATGGCAATCTCAAAGGGTTTTCAAGGCAAGAGATGTTCAGAGGTGGTTTGCCATTGCCTGCCTCACAACCCTGGTATTCCTTGGAGGTCTCCCATCCAAATACTAGCCAGGGCTGACTCTCCTTAGCTGCTAAGATCTGTGGAGATCGGGTTAGCCTGGGCTTTCCAGGTCAGGACACAGTAGTACCAGTAGAGGGTACTACTGTGTCATTTTTGCTGAATCAAGGAATGTTAGCTCCTAAACCTGAGCCAAAAATTAAATAACGTGTGTTATCATTCTGTGGTTTTGTTCAATTGAGGATTTTAAAATGTAATTTAAGAATGTTTTTTTACAACCTCGATACTATCAAAATTGACTTGGGAGTCCCTTGGTTCCAGATCCCCCCCCCCCCCAAAAAAAAATATCCTCAAGCTCTGATCACAATTGGTCATGAAAATAGCCTTCCACTTTCATTATCAGATTTCCTGAATTATTCACCAGAAAGTCAATGGAAGAATTCTGTTCTTGTCCAACATTGTTTAAATATGTCTAAAATTCTCAGGAGGAATATAACCACTAGCCACAATTAACAAAAAGGATGCCAAACTTAAACTGTCAGAAGACAAAGGGCAGTTAGGAAGTTCTATTAATTTGGAATCTGTTGACTCACTGCTGGGCAATGCCCAAGATTTATATCCCTCAACAGAGATTTTATCTAGATCTAGAATAATAATCCATGTGTCTGCAGACATGCTAGGTCGTACTGCTTCTAAAGTTCAAAAAGATGCTTTCCAAAGCAGTGTGAATTCTATCCATCAGTATCTAAAGATACAATCACAAGACTACAGCTATTCACTGGTTTTTTATGTAAATCCAATTATCACTGTGCAAATAATGCTGTAATTGCTCAGGTCTGTGCAAAACATTTGCCACCTTATCAACCAACCCTGAAAACTAGTTGATTTGTTGATCGGAGGAGAGATGGGGCTGTTTTTCTCTATGTAACCATGGTTTGGTGGAAGACACAGGAAGAAAAGGATTCCTCACAAAAGCTCTGTTCCCTGGGAGATTGCATGCATTTTTGTAAAATCAACCTGCACCTTATGGCTAGGTTTGTAACCCAAATTATTAGTGTTTGCATCTGTACTGAGGACACATCTGTAAAGCAGTATATGGTTAAAATTCAGAGAGAGAAAATCCCAATTCTAGTGGGCTTCCTGGCTTTAAACAAGAATATTGAGACCTCAAAGGACCAACATCTATTGTATTTATTACTCTTTGAAAGATATGTTTTTGTCTCCAAATATATATTGTTAATACTAGAAGCCCTACACCCAATCAAGATGCTACTTTGAATGCCAACTGAAGGGAAAATCCTAATACTCAAAATCATGTTAGTCTTGAAATAAAATGTCACTTGACCAGTTTCTTGACTGTGATGCAAATATCCTCTGCTGACTTCCTTAATCAATCATGATCCTTTACAAAGATAAGAACATAAGAAGAACCCTGCTGGATCAGACCAGTGGTCCATCTAGTCCAGCATCCTGTCTTACACAGTGGCCAACCAAAACAAAGTTTGAGTCCAGTGGCACCTTTAAGACCAACAAAGTTTTATTCAAGGTATAAGCTTTCCTGTGCAAGCACACTTCTTCAGCAAGAGGCCTGTTGATTCCTCTTGGTGCTGAGATTCAGAGGCTATCTGCCTCTGAACATGGAGGTTCCCTTTAGTCACCATGGCTAGTAACAAGTGATAGAACTATTCTTCATGAATCTGTTTAATTCTGTTTGAAAACCATCTATGCCTGTGGTCATCACAACATTCTCTGGCAGCAAATTTCACATTTTATCACTTATTGAGTAAAGGAGTATTTCCTTTTGTCTGTCATGAATCTATTGTTCATCAAGCTCATTGGGTACCTCCAAGTTCTAGTATTTTGGGAAAGGCAGGAAAAAGTTTACTGTCCACTCTCTCTACCCCATGCATAATTTCATAAACCTCTATCATGTCATTGTCCCAGTCGTCTCTTTTCT